GCATACGCAGCAAATAGAGATCTGCGATTCCTCTCAGATTCAATTTTGATGAAATCATGCTTCCAGAGATGTTTTTTGAGTCTGCTTAATGGCTATAAAAAGAAGTGGTCAGATACTCGACACTTAGCAGAATAAGTGGACAAAAGCAGACCTTTAAATTTTGGGCAGATCCTTCTCATGAACTAGCTACTAGAAGGGAATCAGACTTCTTTAAAAGCAATCATGATAACCTCATCAGATTCGTACAGTTTTGAAGATAATCTCATCATGCCTAGAAGATCTACACTGCAAACACTCTCCTCTATATCAGACTTGGACCTTATTGATCATCATCCTACGCCTTTTGGAGTAGCGTCCAGTTTTTCAGGGTTTTCATTACGGCAGTTTTAAGTTACTCCTCTCCTGCGTAAGTTTTGTTTGACACAGTTAGAGCGGCAACTTTGGCTGAATTTGCTTGCAGATATCCGCTCAAAGACATGTTTTTAGGGTTAATTTTTACATGACTGTGGAAGGGTTCTAGGATTGCCACAGTAGGTTGTTTTTGGCCCCTTTAACTCTCCACATGGACTATTTTTCTGTGTTTAGCCAGCACCCACAGACAAAACACTATGAGAGCGAACTCCAGTACTATATCTAAAGACTTTGGGAGCTTTCCTGAGCCTGTAAAAAGACACTAGACTGGTTTTCATTATACTTCAATCTCTGTTTTTGGTGCTGTTGTCAACCATCTCTTGCATTCACTGTTTTAGATTAAAAAGAGCAGTACTATCATTTCTTTAAAACAACCACAAAATAAGAAGAGAAATGTTGATCTAATGTGCTTTAAGTTTTAGGTGTCATGAAAACTGCAATCACTTGAAAAGATTTTCGTAAAGTTGCAACTTTTTCGCTTCGACCTCTAAAGTTTGATCCTAAATTTTAAAAACGATAACTCCCATTTTTCATTCAGGGCTTTATAAGACAAAAAAATTTAAATTAAACTGGATTGAATTACAATAAATTCACACTTCACACCTTCTGACTCATATCACCCAGAAAATGACTCCTGTAATTTATGACCGAGCCTCAGGACTGAACAGACCTCGGCCACTCATGTTCGTTGTGCTGATTCTCACGCGCTCGCCACTGCTGTGTGTTTTGATATTTCATCAGGGCCTGCTAAACAGTGAGGAGGGCTCTCTGCCGCCCACCTCCTCTCAGACAAATTGCCTACAAGATTGCAGAGGTGGGTCTGAGGCTGATGGATGGCTACACAAAGACCTGACGAGACCATATTTGCAAACATTAAAACCATATTTCCATAACATGTTGGAGCTGCTGCTGCAGGGCCACTTTAACAGACGGGTAGAGGTTGTTGCATAAATGTTGCTCTAAGGTGTCGTGTCTGACATGCTTGTGTCTTGATTTGGACGGGTTACAGTTGCTCCATGTTTTTCCTTCCTCCTCCCTTCACCCTTTTAACCTCTTTAAGCAGTAATTACATCCGCTGTGCTCCCCCCCCTGTCCAACCACCTCACCCTCCAGACGTTAACATCCATTTATCAGTTTCAGCTCCATCATGTCTGACCAGTACATCCATGTTGCCCCTTGCCCTCTCTGGCTGACCCAAACTCCCGTCTCCACTCTTTCATCTCCATATCCTTGAACCCTCACTAATCAGTCCTCTTCAGCTCATCTTTGCCTCTCTTCCTCTTCTCCCGCTGCCTTATCCCCACCTTTTCACCCTCTCCTCCTTTCTTTTGTCTTACATAAACGCTCCCTTCCCATCCCTCTCTCCCATTCTCCTCTTCTTCCTCTTTCCCCTCTCTTTCCTCTTCCCCGTTGGCTTTCGCCTGCGTTTCTCTGTTAATTTGCCTGAGAATGCATTAGCTGTAATGAAGGCTGAGGGCCGAGGGAATCCTCCAGGGTTCCATTAATCATCCCCCCTCAGACAGGCAACCTTGATTACAAGTGGCAAGAAATTCATTAGAGCCGGGCCTCTGACAACTCTTATCTCCGCCACTAGATCTGACTCATTAGGCAGCCAAATTAAAGCTATGATGGCCCTGATGAAACTCATCGCTTGTTTATCTTGTGCGATTTGATGCATCTGCCCATACATCACTGTAGCCGCCGCCGTCCGGACCCTCCCAAGAAGTCAGGCCTGCAGTCAGCGCTGAGCAGCCTGCACTCACAGAAACAGCCAGTAATGAGGACCGTCTTCTCCCTCTTCCTTTTTCCTCTTCCTCTCTCTCTCTCTCTCTCACTCTCTCTCTCTCTCTCTCTCTCCAGGTGGGAAATCACAACACAGTTTAACATCTTTCCTTGAGAGAAATTTTGATATTTCAATTTGTGATTTTAATAGATACATGGCAGAATCACACAGACATTGCTTTAGGCTTGTAAGTGAAGAGTAGAATTTTTTTTCTTTTATTCCTACTGGTGTTCATAATTCAACCTAATTCTATTACTTAATAGTTACTGGCATAAAGGTAGAGACATTACACAAGTGTAAGTGATAGATACATATTTAAAGAAGAATAAAACAGTTTTTAAAAATATCTAAAGACAGATAAATGTTTTCAGATGAGTCTTACCTTGTGTGTGTTTACCTTTCCCAGAGTCAGACCTTTGGGATTTGGGATGAGCAAATCCTATCACAAATTACATTTTTACAACATACTCGCGGTTAATAAAAGAAACTAAATTTGTAGAAAGGTGCAAATAGTCCCACGTACGATATTTCCACAATAACAACAAACATGACCTGAGTCTGAGCTGTGTCATGGCTCTTCGTCACCTCCACCGAGCTGCTCATAAACACTGAAATAGCCCTTTGCACTCTGGCACAGTGTCGTGGAATTGACCGTCTGCATTAGTCAGCTGTTAGATAATAATAATAAAAAAAAACCTTCCACTGACTGTCCCCTCACACCACCATCGCCCCTTCAATCCCCATCCAAGTGTCACAGTCTTGATGTATGAGGTGGACGGTGGAATAAACTTTACAACTCGCGATGTGCCAAGGTCAACAAAAGTCTGTTCACGTCCTGAGGTCAAACAGTGTTTACATGACAGGCTGCAAGGAAAAAATGATTTGGTTTTCAGGAATAGAAAAACACCATATTTTGGCTAAATATGTAATGAGAAGGAGGCTGGTTAATTTAGTGAAATATTTATGATAATGAAATACTTGAATAATCCTGCCCTAACCCCGTAGTTCAACAGGTGCTGCTGCATTAGGTTTAACATGGCTCCAGGCCTGAGTCTATTTTGGAAAAACTAATCACTTTCTCCCATCTGAGCTGAAATTATTCCAACATGAGCCTTTTCTGGAAGCAGCTCAGAGAAACGAAACCCAGAGAGAAGCATAACTCTCCTATGTGAATGTTTGCATAAAAACACAAAGCCCTGTTACAGCCTTTTCCTGTAAATGGAGAATGATGTGGTCAGACATTACTTTAGATACACATTATTTCAATAGTTGTTCACCTCTACAATTTCACATTAAAATGTAAGATTAGGTGTAGGCTGAATTTCTCACTCTGGTGGAAAGATATATATTATGATAGGAGTGGGCTTTACTCAACACCTTAAGGTTTTTACATCTTAAAGGGTATATTTTTCCACATGGTTTAGTCAAATAAATTAAATACGCTACTGTAGAAACTATATTTCTTTTTACACTAATCCACTAAATTGAAAAATCTGAGGAAGTGTCACAAAAAAACATCCTAGAAATTATCGAATGGAGAAAAGACTCACAATTAAAGTTATATTTTGTATTATGTGACAAACTAAACAGAACTAAAATTTCCTTGTATGTTTTGAATTTGATTTAAACCCTCTTACTTGTCATAAAGAATTATTTCTGGAAAATGTTTTAAATATTTTCACACACACACACACACTCCATTTTGAGTGTATTATAGAAATTTTGAGTTTGGGGAAACTGTTCCCTCAGCAGTGACTGACAGATGAGTTCATCACGGTTTGTTAAATGTGCTCATTCAAATGACGATCCATCAGTTCAACTGAGACAACATGGCCTCCTACAGAAACAAGAAAAACATCTCTGAGGCTTTAAAGATCCTCCTAAAAAAACCTTTCCCTAATGATACAAGAGGAAATCGTTTCAGCACCAAATGATGAAAACTAGCTTAAATGCGAACAGAGCTCGAAAAGAAGGACGATAGGGTGTCAGTGAACTTTGAAAGTTACAACTCGAAATGCTTTGAATATTTATGATAAGATATTTGTTTGTGTTTTCGTAATAATTTTAATAAATTCTGAAATAATTTGACAAATATTTCAGCGTAAAATTCAAAATTACGTCCTCGGTTAGAAATGTCTCGGCTAATATTAGCTTAAATGTGCTCAGTAACATCACAGACGCCGCCTGGCTTGAGTTAATATTTAGAGTTTAAAGATGAATTTCGCAGTAAAACAATTTTTACTTTAACAAGATACATTCATATGTCGACATTCACGTTAAAAACAATAATGTCAATCTATATTCAGAACAAAAAAGATTCATTCTGGATCCAAACTTTCGTATAAAGCAATTTATTAGGTCAATATACTTTACACTTGTCCCTTGTTTGGTCATCATTTCCTTCATATCTTTTTCTTTCCACAAATAGCTGCAAACTGTGAATCCTACAGTCTCCAAATGAAATGTCAAACCGTCTTTACATGCAAATGTGCTCAACAAATTGTACGAAACACAAAAACGAAAAAATCCAGCTTCACCAAATAAGGACATGCACAACAGAACATTTGGCCCTACATATAAATACTTAAAAAATCTGAACAGAACCGTCTCATAGTGCCCGTTTGTTCCATTTTAACCCATTTATATTTACATATTCACAGAAGAATAAATAAAAACGACAGCACATTGCCAAATAATGATCCTCTTCTCTGTTCTCAGACAAAATAATCGACTCCTCCTTTTTGTGCTTCATGCGGTCAACATGTAAGTGTTTTAAATTGTGAATAATTCAGCTTTTTCTCGGAGTTCACGGCCTGGTCCCTTGCTCTATTTGTTGATGCTGACTCCTCACAGCGAACCTGTTGACGTGCACGGGGATGGGCACCACTATTTTGGGGTTTCTCACCGGTTCTCCAGACCGGTTGTTCACGTTGCCGGCTTTGATCCGTTTCCATTTGGCCCTGCGGTTCTGAAACCAGATCTTCACCTGCACCTCGCTGAGTTTAAGAGCGTGCGCAATCTGCGAGCGTTCAGTCAGAGAAAGGTACTTTTTACAGTGAAACTCCTTTTCCAGTTCGAGCAGCTGCTCGCTGGTGAAAGCTGTTCGTCTCCTCCGGCTCTTCCCCGCTGAACTGCCGGTGGGTAACGCCTCCTGAGAGCCGGTTTTAAGTTTGCTCTTCTGGGACAGGGAGCCACAGTTGTTCCCATCCGAGAAACTTTCGTTCTCGCTGTCCGCGGAGCTGTCCTCCCGGTCACTGCACGCAGTATCCGCAGATTTAAGGTCCAGCTTCTCATCGTCTGAACTGTACAGTTTTGTCTCACCTACAATGTTGAGGGGGAAAGAGAGAAAAAAAACACTTTAAATCACTTGACCATACGCTTAAATGCCAGAAGTGAGCATTACGCAATGTCTCATCTTGTTACACATCAATCATGGCCTCTTTTAGCAGGTGAATAAAAATAAAAGGACATGAAAAAGTTCTGAAAACTGCTTAAAATATTTTAATAGTTGGAATAAAATTGGCCTGTTACGATATTTCCCTTCAAATTTCAAATGTTTTGGCAACTTGGAACAGTTTTATCTCTTGTCAACAAAACAGATCCCCCATTTTTTAAATGTAATTCAGCATCATTTAAAATACATAGATGTTAGATAGATATAGATAATAAATGGATAGATAATACTTGAATAACAACCAAAAAAATTAAATGTAATAAAGCCTGCTCTTGAAGCAAAATATATCAGGAACTTTAGATTTTATTGCTCACTGTCACCAGGTTGCAATCCTCCAAAACTAGGCCACACAATTTTATCACTATTTTTCCACCCCAGAATTATGTACAAACAAGTTAAGGGTACTCAGTTTTTTAAATCTTGGTACATCTCCAAATACAATCTCAACTTTTACGCATTTTTACGCATGATGGCCTTTTTACGCATCGTCCTCCTGGTTTTCATTTGATAAGACACCGTAAATGGACAGCGATGCCAAGCTTACCTGATATAGTTTGAAAAGTTTCTGAGAAGTTGAGCAGCTCGGAGCTCTTGTCCCGGCCGTGCAGGTCTTCAGAGTGCGGACTCTCCTGCCTCCTTGCTCCGGGATCTGCTGCGCTCAAACGCGGGCCTGGGAGCTCTTGTGGAGGGTAGAAACTGTCCGGTGGATCCGAGAAACTTGGCATCGTGGTGGTGAGAGCAACCATGGAGGGCACCCCCTGCCCTAAACTGGCACAGAACGTGTTCGTGAGGCGTCCCGCAAAAGAAGCCAAAGGCGCGAGGGGAGGTATCCCTGAAGATAAGGGCGAGTGGGATAAAGCTTGTGGGATAACCAGAGGTCTGTACGGCATGAACATGGGGTAGCCTGTGTACAGCAGGTGTCCCGGTCTGGGCTGAGGGGTCCCTATGAGGGAGTCGATTGAGAACGCCGTCCCTTGGCCGCCTGGTCTCTGCATGTTGCAGGAAAAGACTTTTCTTTTGGCTGGAAACTTAAAATAGCAGGTGCCTTTTTTTCCCTCAGCGACGCGTAAAACTTTCAGTGTAAAGACGGAGCGGAGAGAAAGTAGATCCTCCGCCGTGTTGTCATCCCTGGGAGTGTGTGGACTGCTTCTCCGGGTCTCTGCGTTCTCTCTCCCCTCTCTTTCTCTCTGTGCGTTTTGTTGTGAGCCCTGCCGCTACCTTTTCCCTCTTATTTGTCACACACTGAGACATAAACACACGCTCTCTCTATCTATCTACCAACTCCTCCCTCCACCCCTCTCCCATGCTCCGTGTGTGTGTGTGAGAGAGAGAGAGAGTGTGTGTGCGCAAAGAGAGAGAGAGAGAGAGCGCATTGGTTATCATCTGCAATACAAGAGGAATGAAAAGGGGGTGTTTCCCTGGGGGCTCATCCATCTTCCTCAAATTACGCTTCATTTCCTTATTCAGCCTCTGACTTTTTGGCCGTCTTGAGAGGCGGTAGTTTCCCAGTGGAGACCAAATAGACGGGTCGGCCCCCCTCTCAAGCCCCCCTCCTCCCCTTTTGCCAGGTTCACCATTGACTGCAAAACGGTGTGAGAGACTGCTCCAGCCCTTCCCCTTCTATAATCGTTGACCACACCAACCCAATCAGCTATTATTAATTTTGATTGATGATAAGTAATTACTCTGGATTCAAGGGACAGCGTAAAACAACGGCGCCTTTTGTTGGAATATTGGGGCCGATGAGCATCAGAGTGAGGAGGGAGGAGAGGCAGATGTTTCTCCGCTCTCTGGCCCTTTCTCGCCGGATAAAAACAATGCGTTTGGCGGCTTTGGGAAAAAAGAGAAGTGCTGCAACAATTGTTCCCTGGAGAGAGATACTCTGCGCGAAATTAGATCCAGATAAAGGAGGTTTATGCGAGGTCAACTGCAGTGTGGACACTGTGGCCAAAGTCAAATCGAAGTGATTCCACTCATACTGAAGGGATTTATTTCACAGATTTGACTATCAAACTTAAACGTTTCTTACTTAGACTCTCTCCCCACCGCGTAAAGGCTTCTTATACTTTAAATTATGCACTTTCTGGCGCTGTGGGAGATGGAATTCATCCCTGATCAAAAATGCATGTGGCAAGAGAAAAAAAAACACTTTTTTCTTCCTTTAAGCACTAGTTTAATCGCAGATCATTTCACCTTTTAAATGGCAATGGGAACTGATGATGATTAGCCCTATTGAGTCCTGGGTGCCCGGGCTCTCCAACCGGTCGTCTGATTGCACGAGGACATAAACATATCACCAGCGGCTCTGATTAGCGGTGGAGGGCCAGGCCAGGCTAATTCTTATAATTACAAGTGACTCCAGCAGCAGCAGCAGCAGCAGCAGCTCTGTTTCATCCACTGAAAGCATCTCTTCAAGGAGCAGCTCTGAGGTTACACAGCTCCTCTTTACACTTTTTATTAGAGGCAAATTTGACGTGACCAAATCGAATTTATTTTAATACAAAATATATATGACCTGAAACTATTTTTCATTCTTGAAAATGTCTGATTAATGCTTCTTAAAATCCTGTTCAATAGCTGATTCACGTTTTCAGTGCAAGAGATTATCCATTTTTACGCTGCTTTATATATTTTTTTAAAAGATAAATTAATGGAATTAGGACAAATTATTTTAGTTTGCTTTAAAGGACTAAAACAGATGCCTCAAGTCAAACTTTTTTTCCACATAATAGTGAGAAAAGCGGACTGACAGCTGCACTTCACGGCGTCCTTGACGTTTTTTCCCTCTCGCTTGGCCTGTTAGTTTGTCGTGAATATTTGAGCAGGAAATAAAGATTGACTTTTAATGAAATCTGTGAAACAAAGTGCAAATTTACATATCTAAACATACTGTAGTTAAAAGAAATATTTTGGTTTTATTTGCTTTTATCTTTAACTGTACGCTTTATTAAATAAAAAGTAAACAGATTTTATTTTGTGTATTTTTGTGATTAATATTTTCTCAAGGGACAAAAACTTGACAATGCAGAAAAACGTGAGAAAACAGCAGACTGCAAACCGAAACACTTAGAAAAAAACGAGGAAAAAGACTGCATATAAAACAACAACAACAAAAGAGTGACATTAGAATAACTCAGGCAAAAAAGTGCATTTTATTCTTTTATCCAGTTTATTTTCAGACAAACTTCTAATAACTGTCATGTCAGTAGAAGCATTTATTTATGCCAGCATAGCCATCCTCAGCCCATGTCATCCGCAACAAACTACAATTTCACTTAAAGTATAAAAAATACAAGCAACTCAGCCTTTTTGTTGCAAATGCAGAATAAAAAAAATCACTAAATCGTTACATAAATGTAAGATATAAAACACTCAGTTGCACACCTGCTTATTATTTTATCAGCTCTAGTCTACAGCGCCCTCCTGTGGTGCAACACCAAACATGTCACAGAGCTGAAAGGTGATCTGGAATAAAAGAGACAGAGGACCAACAGCTTCTTTGACCATCAAAAAGTGAGTTCCTGTCCAATGCTACAGTTGATGCAATTACTTTTACCACGATGTTTATATAGTAAATATACTTTTATTATCAATTATCATAGCAGCGCTCAATCTTCAACATATTAACTCGACTAGACAAAGTGCTTTCAGTGGATGTAACCTCTGTACTCCAGCAGCAGGTAGTTCTTGATGAAGGTGGGCAGATCCAGTTTAGGGACCACCTTGTGAACTCGGTCATCTAGGAAGCTTCTGAGTTTGCAGCGAGCTAAGTGCTGGAGGGAGCGAGGAGTCATCGCCAGGGAGAAGATGGACTCGTAGAAGTCTTTGTGCTCCTGTTAGATAAAAAAAAAAAGATGGATGAACATGAGAACAACTTGGAGGAGCAGTCGGAGGATTTGCATGTCAGTAATAAATAAAATGCACTGATTCAAAATAATGGGAAAAATTAATCTATCTTTGGCCGTGTCCTAAAAGAGATAAAAGACCTTCATTGATATGAAACACTGCTGCTACAGTTCAGACAAACTAATATAGCATGTAACACATTTTAAAATTTTATTTTATTTATGTTAATGGACTTCTAATTTTAATGCATTTACTTTACTGCGTACTGTCTTTGTAATGCCACAACAAACAAATTTCCTCTCTCTTCTTTTTAGGATCAATAAAGTACTATTTTCTTACCCTCATCTTATATTAATACTTTGATTTCGATAACAATTTATTTAAATATGACATAAAATTTTTGATCGTGCATGCACCATTACGAGGTGAAAGAAGCTTATAGTGTTTGAAAGTTCCTATTACTTTAAATAAACATAAAAACAAAATCTGCAAAGGTGTTATGGAACAGCCTCACTGGTTTAATATTCAACAAGCTTGCCTTGAACACCTCCGGCGAAACTGACTCGACCCAGGTGTCTGTGACCTTCAAGAAACTGTAGGCGTTCAGAAGAACCTCAATGGTGCGCGGAGACGTCGAGCAGTGCTTCAGAACCTGAAAGAAACGCCAGGACCCAGAACAAAGCCACACATTCATATAATTATCAGTGAAGTTCATGAGCGAGTCTGTGACTCCATAGAACTGAAGAAATAAAGTAATTAAACACTTGTGAAATGAACAGATTGGTCTTCCCTCCAGGGGTTTAACTGGAAATTATGCAATTAGTGCTAATTAATCTCCTATTAACACTTGCCTAATTAGGAACCAGGCATTTTGTCTCATGCACGTGGGTTCACTGATAGTTGTAGTCTGTTCCCTGCAGAGAGTGCTACACTTCATGTTGTGTCATGAGATGGGAATGATTTGAATAGTGAAGTTGTGAAGTCTGAAATACTCCGAGGAACAGTTAGAGTGTCTCAAGAATTTCAAGGTGTTACATGAGCAGAGCCTGCTAATTATGCTGAATGAGCCAGCTTGATGAATAATTGGTTCCTACTGCAAAAACAGTTCACAACCACAAACCATTCTGCATTCATTTATTCTACAGTGAATACACTATTTTTGTGTTTTTTACTTATTTTAAATGAAATGAAGCACTTTTGAATCCCTACCACAGGCAGAGCTCCGGGCCACACACGAATAGAACCATGGTTTAGCAAAGCTCGGACGATCCTCTCAGGCTGATGAGTAACCTTGTAGCAGGCCACCTTCAGGATGTTGTGCATAGGAGCTTCACCCCCATAGTCCATGTTGTTGACATTGGCGCCTTTAGCTAGCAGCAGATCCACTATATCTGGGTTGACATTCTTGCAGGCCATGTGCAAAGGATTGTGTTTGTCCTGGTCCAATGTGTGGATGTCAGCCCCGGCCGCCAGCAGCATCTGGCACACCTTGAAGTAAGGTTGAAGTTCCTGCTGCTCCTGGGGTTGTGAACAAGCCGCGTTGAGGGGGGTGAGACCTTCATCGTTCTGTTTGTCAACAGCAGCTCCATAACGCAGGTAGAGATCGACGAGGTCAGGAAGGCCATTCCTGGCTGCCACATGCAAAGGAGTGTCATCTTCATCCAGAGTGCGACCATTAATAGCTGCTCCATATTGGAGGAGGTACTTGGCACATCTGCGGACAGAGTTACAGAACCTGTTTTGTAAGGTAACATAAGTTACTTGCACATGTAAACATCCACCAGTGTTTCTGGGAAGTTTTATTTGACTCCAAGTTGTGGAAGCTCAGATGCGAACCCCGTTTCAAATTTGCTAATTTAAATGCTACACCTGATGTCCGACACTTTGGATGTGCATATATGCCTCACATTTTAAGTGGCTGGAGTTTTTCATCTATTTAGCAAGCAATTTTAGCTACAGAACTGCTAGCCTGCTATATTTTGACACTCACATTAGTAGCAGATGATGTTATAGTAAGGTTGTAAAACTCTGATAGGAAATGGCTAAGCTGCAACATGTGATACTAAAAACTGCAGTTCCCAGAGTGTCCACTGGGGGCTGGCACCAAAAGCTCAGTGGACCCCATTAACACCCAGGTTAAAATGCTTGAAGCCTAGTTCCAAAAGAAAAAAACAAAAAACAGATTTGGTCTTTTTAGAAACTCTTTCTCATACAAATCTTCAACAATTAGCCAAGGTGCTCCATCCACCCTGGCTCTAGCAACATAAGATAATTTGACTGACGTTCCTGTTTTTAAATAATGCTTTACCCCTCTTATTATGCAACCCTTATCTTTTAAAGCTGCTGTACAGAGCTTCTGATATGTGTCATTTTCACTGCATCCTGGGGATATACTGGTACATATGATCTATTCTCTGATCTTGACCTGTGAATGTGTAGGCAGTGTTTTCCCACTAAAACCCAACATTTGACAGCGAGCTAATGGAAGTGAACATGTTGGTATATAGTGCTAAGCAGTTATCTTGATGAGACTGTGACCCATGCTTTTTTACCAAAGCAGAATTTCTATTCTTAAAAGAACCATCCTACAGTCAATCCTACACTCTAGCAATTATGAAAGTATCATCTTTGCAGTAGTTTTACTACACCAAATTGGTAATGAACTCTAATTTTGTTCCATTTTACTCACTCAATAGATTCAGGGCTGGAACAGACATGCAAAGGCATGAGTCCCTCCTCAGAGACAGCATTGGCATTTGCACCGTGGATCAGCAGCAGCTTGGTACACTCACTCTGACCGTTCTCACAAGCTTCGTGCAGAGCTGTTGTGCCTCCAGGTGCTAAGTCTACATTTGCCCCACGCTGCAGCAGGAGTTTAAGGCAGTCTGTAAAGCCTCGGCTGGCCGTGATGTGAAGTGGTGTGGTCAGTTCTTGCTCATAACTCAGCGACCAAAGTCCTGCAAGTGGGTGATAATGAAGTCTTGTTGAAGGTCAACATTAATCAGCATGAATTATCTAGTAGACGTGCCTGATGCCTAGTTCAAAGTGTTACTTGTTGCATGACTCATAACCCACAGAATATCCAGTAACTCTCAGTTAAACCCTGAAATCAAAGCACTCAGTAACCTACTCAGGCCTCTGTAGTTAAACCTGAAGTTCTTCCATTCCTCTATATTGCTGGTGTCAAAAATGGCATCCACAAGGTGAGAGTACTCCTCGTCGTCCACGATGCTGAGAACCGTCAGCTCATCGCCCACGAGGAGAGAGTTCCAGAACTGCAGGACACAACCAGTGGCCTTGGCTGTGGCGATCACATCATTGCGGTAAGACTTCTTTTTGTGCCACTTAATCTTAGGTGCTACGTAAGCCATCCTGGAGCCTGACTATGACAGAGCTTTACTGTAAAGTTTAGGAAGGTGGTTCCTCCTGAAGATATAGGTGCCAGTGCTTGGTTGTTTGTGCACACAGGGCTATTTCAAGGGGGTGTTATGTGATATTTTGGCTGACCTAATGAACTTTTTTGCTGCACTTACATAGCCTATGATTTGTGTGTTACATGTCACTTGTGCATCTATGGAGGTAGGTAAATAATACTCAGTTGCATGTAAAAAAAAAAAAAAATCAAGGAGTTTTGGAAAAATAAACTGGTTTTGGTCACACTCTCCACAGCCTAAACTCATCATTATTCATTCAATATTTCAAACATTCAAATTGGATGATGGGAAAGTCATTTCCAGGGCAAAACAATTGCAAAAAAAATGACTAGTACTTTGTAAAGTTAAAAAAAAAGGCAGCTTCTTTTGCCTTCATTAAAAAAACACAATGACATCCAGTCTTACATGTGATTGTTTCCATAAATATTGCCTCGTGCTCTGCTTCTATAAATATGGCATTACTGTGTCTTGAAATACTGCCTCAGAGTGAAACGCGCCAGCCACACATTGCTCTAAGTTGCATATCAAAACCATTATAAAGCGTTGATTTCTAATTTTGCATTCTCATCTTCAGTAAAAACATTAAGTAGAGTAAGCCGTGCCAAATCTTCAGTATCTCTAAATGAATTCCTGATGAAGACAGATGACGTCTCTTACCTTCTCCTGTGGCGACCCAACGCATTTCCCCTCCTTGTGGCTCGATGATGAGGTTAGTCATGGATCCTCTTGGAAACAGTCGCTGCATAGCCTCCAGGTCTCCTGTATACAGAGCATTTTGGACGACCACGTCCTGGCAGACCGCTGCAGGCAGAACTGCGCTGTTCCTCAGCGGGGCCCTGTCTCTGGCCTCCTTTCTTAGCAGATAGTTATTGAGGTGATGGGAGGCCAGCTGCCTCTTGTACTTCTGCCTCTCCAGCATGTCCTCGTCAAGTTGAAGAGAGCGCAAGGCCATGGGTGTGAAGACAAAGCTGCCTCGCGACATGCTGAATGTCACACCTCTGAGGAGGATGTGTATGAAAGTAGTATATGACAGTCTCAGAAGGCCTCTCTGATCTGTGGTTGTTTTGCCGTCCCTGGCTAATGTCCACTATATGCCCGCTGGTTGCTCTCAGGGTTGGTTCACAGAGTTGTTTTGATATTTGGTATGAAGCCCTCCCAGCAGTGTGACAACTGATGCTATTTTTGTGCCTCACATGCACACACTTGAGCCTGCCCTGTTAGCCTCTGGCAAAGTATCAGCTGTGAAGTGTATCAGTGTCAGGCTACACGTATCAAATGAATAGGCCCTCACATTTGTTAATTAAAACACAAACATTGACATAATAAAACTTATTTTTGTCTTATCTACAGAATTCTGTCACACATTACTTTTCCTTGGTCGGATATGAATTTAAAGATTTTTAAGTTTGGCACGCTGAAGATTGGTTTAGTGTGTCCTTGCTTCTTGTACTCTTAATTTCTAAAGGAAAACAAGTCCCTTCAAAGGTCAAAGTCTCAAGAGTATAAACATGGCTCTCTTAAAAGGGCATTTTCCTATTTGTACCAGATAAAATATCAAAAGCAACACCTGAATTATCATATGACCATTTTTTAAGTTCAGATTTTATCTTGAAGGAAGAGCAAATAGGTATTAGTCCTATTTGAGAGCCTCTATGAGAATGTGTTTGCAGAATATCCTCCTCTGCTTTGTATTTTTTTCCAGCAGCTTTAATGGATTTTATGTATCCACATGGCTCCCTGCATTAGAACATTAGGCTGAATGACTGGCAACCGCTGTGTCACTCTGCCCCACGTGTAGTGTTCTGATGGCGGAGGGACGGCGCATAATTAAGCCTCCTAAGCCGACTTGCTAAGCTCCTGACAAACATCTCTTTTGACTGATGGACTGCCATTTCCAATGCTTGTGGGGCACTACATCAATAGTGATCCAATCTCCTTACTCTCCAGACTCAGGCTAAGTTTACATGTCTGGTTAGGATGACATATAATAATCTCTTTTAGTGGAGTCTCATCAAAATGTCCTGTATTTCTTTCACAGTTGATCTAAACGCACATATTTCCATGTCTGCTTATCCACCTCCGTGCTGGAGTCCGTCAATGTGCCTTTAAGCTTTGCTGAAAACAAGGTTGGCACCACAGGTGGAGAAGTATACAATATTTGTTGGAAGGTTTTACCTTCTTTCCCATTTGGAAACACAGAGGCATCACTGCATCTCATCTATACCTTAACGACTGTTCTGCTGTGGAAATCGAGGTCATTTATTTTATGTTACAGTTTGGTAATAGATGCCACATTAAACTGAAGGCGAGTAAGAGTTTCAACTTTGAAAACACACATTACCAGAGAGAGACTAGGAATATTGTTTTTGCGGCTGGAGTACATCCTTTTAAATGATATACATAATGAGTTTATAATATGCATCTGGGCTACCTCCTCTCTACTTTGATGTCTTCCAAATGGCCCGGGTGTCATCAGCAAAACATGTAGGCACTTTCCCGCCTCATTGACTCCCAAATGTATTTTAAATATCATTCCTGGTAACGCAATTATTTAAAACGCTGAACTAAACACTTACTAATGGGGAAAAAGACAGCGACTTCGATAAATTCATTTCTCAAATGGTGGGCATTCGTGTTTCTTTTTTTCTTTTTTTTCCCTCAGAAGGCAACTCTGATGGCAACAAAAAAACATCAGCAGCAAAAACACCCCCTGCCCTCACAGCCCCCCGTAGACATATTAAATCTTTGGTTTCCTCACATTACCCACCAGTAGCTGTTTTTCTGATGGTTTTTCACCATTGTGGTCAACAGTCTTCCTTTCCCAGGGCGGCGAGAGGCTGGACATCGGCAACGGCCCTGATGAGAGTGAGGCACTTCATTTACGCAATCATAGGCAATTAGTTCCCTCTGATTATGTGCCTCTTAATGCTGTTTTGAGTACTGTGGCACACAGTAATACAGAAAGAGATTAAACTATAGCCCTCCCTCCACACTGAGCAGTCATTTAATATACTGAGAACATAATGAAATGTACACAGTAATTACAGTAATATTAAATGCTAATGGGTTTGCAATTGGGTCTGTTGTTAGTCTAAGTCAGTCAGTGCACCCCAAGAAAGTCTAAGTTTAGAGAGAGTGTTGAAATGGCATCAATTATCCTTCAGGTGTTTCATACAATAATGAGTTATATGTAAGTCATTGCACTTTGGATCATGTCTGGAAAGTGGGTGAAAGAGCAAACGATATGCAATAAGCAGATTTCAGTTCATATATATACACATATATACTTTATATATAGGGAAAAAATAGAGTCTGTAGTTTATATTTCAATGGTAGAATAACTTGTAAGATCACAATTTGAATATAATATGAGGTAGTGGTGAGTATGTTTCATTTTTTTAATAACATTGTTTAAAGCAAAAAATAAAATGTTGGGTATTTTATGCTTTTGTGTCCCAGTCCTGATTGGGATTCTGGTCTATTGTAATTTTCCTAATATCACACACTCTTTAAATTGGACTGTTTTAAGTCTGCAATGCCATTACAAGGTCTTTTATAGCTGTTTTACTTCTATATATGGTGCACATCAGTGTCCACTACATGTTGTGGATAAGGTGCCCTGTTGGCAAATCTCCCCCAGGTCTCATCACAAAACCTAAGATGTTGGTGGAGAACCTAAATGAATTTATAGAGCCTTGGATAGAACAGTAGCCCCAAACTACTCTGTGGAAGCATGATTACTTTTTCTGTACTCTCTCAGCTCTGAGCCTACCACCTATAATGTATTGTATCGGTCTTTGCAGATTCCAATTGTCTCTCAATGCACTGATCACCACGCAAATAGCCCCCTGTTTCATCATGACAATTGAGAGGTTCATATTTCAACCTAATAGTCCTGTATAACTTTAACCATCTATCACAACCTCATTTCATTGCGGTTGCAGTTAATACGCGCTTCCCTGCCAAGTGGAACATTTTCTAATGATGCACTCTCACACGAAAACAAGGCAAGCAAGCACAGGCTCTGCATCACTCACTAATGCACCCATCCATAATGTGTTCATAGCAGTCTGCCTAAAGCAGACGGCAATGACTACCACTTGGCATGGGCATAAGAGGGGATATGGGGAAGGGTGCAAGATACAAAACCTAAATGGCCATGATAATCACGAACAAAGTCACTGCCATCAAAAACTGTATCACCCTCATAATAACATCCTTAGATTTCATATCATTACCAAGAATGCTGGGAAACAAGTAAAATGGGTATCTCAACAATAACAGTCATTGGTGAGAGTCACATCAAGAGCATTACTGCAGTGAGCCCGGCTTTGTAGGGTGTTGACAAGGGTCGCATAATAGGTGTATGTAAAGCCTGATGTAAACACCATCCTAATTAGAGAGACCTTTATCAGTTCCTGCATTTTATGCAGATTGGACTGGTGCAAACGCTGTAGTCATTATCCTGTAATCAAGTAGTATTCAGTTGACAGTGTCGTCTTTAAAAGACCTGATTAGGATAAACAACAAGGATACCATGTTGCGTTATTTCCTCCATCAGTTTATAAATAGTCGTATGTCCATTCTAAAGCTGACTGAATAATTAATCTTATCAAGGTTGGAATTAAACCAACAGAGGTCAAAACGATTCTGCAAACAGTTTTTGCCTTTGAAATAAGTGTACTATTTAAAGACAGATCTACTTATGTACCCCATATTATGAAACAATATAGAGTTTTTAAACAAAAGTCGTGTTTTAGTTTATAAACCTCCAAAAATCAAGAAAGAATTTTGTAAACCAGATTTTCATGTTTTGATCCTTTTTAAACAATACTCAGGCATTATCTATAGATAATTTCCTTTCCCATCTAAAAAATGTATATTTTAACACTTATAAATTTATCACTGTGTAAAATGTTGATAAAAACAGAATTTATGAGTGATTGGGAACTACTTCATCAAAAATGTGTGGTATTGTGTGTTTTTCATGACTGGAAAACAAAGAGGTCCATTAGATTAAAAAGTTGGATGTCAGTAAAACTTGCTCAAAAAGTTACACTAGATCCACGCATGGCGAGTGCCAGACCATTGTCTATGCACTAGACTCGCTCAGTTCATGTTAAAAGGGGCGAAATCAACATAAAACCTACCAAATAGAAATATCGCTTTCTTTTCTTTTTTTGCAGGGAGTTATCTGGGTGTCACTTCCTAAATGTTTTGGGTCAGATTAAGGGTGCAAAACACATGACCGTACTTTAATTTTCGTCATTTCAAGGTAGCTAGTTCACTGGTTCTAGTTCACCGTAAGTAGCTCAGCAACGGCAAGCTGCTCCCTGAGAGCCTATCAGAAGAAAGTGGAGGAGGGAGTAAGGAGGGGGCTCTTAAAGAGACAGTAACTGAAGTAAGATACATCAGGACGAGGTTTCAATGGTTTCAAAAACACCAGCCTGAGATCTGAGATGATTCTGAGCTGAGAATCATGTTAAGATACCACTGAAGTAACAGAAGAATATTACAAAGGCTGAAAATGAGAATAATACCCCCTCCAGAAATCTAAAATGTTGTGGGCTGCACAGTGGCACCAGGGCTGGTCTGTAGGTTTGTTATGCCATAAGCAAAATCTTTTAAAAAGAAACAAGCCTTTAATTAGCCTATCTTTCAAGTCAAAACTGAAAAAGTTTCTCATATGATTTATCTTGTTGTTTTTTGAAAGCCTAGTGTTTTTCTGTAAACATTTATTACTGTAAATTTTATAAATCAATGTAGGCCTTTGAGGAACAAATAACTGAACAAATGAAATTGTATGGGCAATAAGGACATTACTTTATAGGTATACATGTATTTATAATCCAGTGTAGTTCAGAAAATAGTTCCACTGATAACTCCCAGACAATATTTCTTAGAATAGGTCACAGAATATTCGCCTGATTGTTCCTAATTTTGGTTTAGTTATTGTTTTGTTTTTGTAAATGCTTAATCTTAATTAAGCTTAAAATTGTTTTATTGTTAGTTTTAGTATTTTGTTAAACTGGATACTTGTCCTGGGTAAGATCCAAAAGAACCAGTTATAATGTAGCCTTCTATCGTAGAGATTACAGAAAATTTTGCACACAAAATATAAAAATGTGGTGAACTTGAAATATTCTATGACAATGTCACAAAAGTGTTTGGTAGTGAACTCAGAAACTGTCTCAAACATACCACACAGAGACAATACATTTAACAAGAGAAACAGGTTTAATTTGAGATGTTTTAGCAGACCTTATTATAGATCTACCTACCACAGTAACATAATACAACATACTGGCCATTGTCCACAGACTGCAGTGCTCAGATCCTCAGGTGGCCCAGCAGAGGGCACTCACATTGCACGAGAGACACCAGTCCCAAGGGAAGGCCAACAAGACTCAATTATAAAGAGGTTTTACACAGTAACAATGGCAAAATAAAAAGTGGAAAAAATATGGAAGAATTCAGAAGGATTCTTATCAATACTTTTGCCCAAATCCCACTGTGAAGTTTAATACTTGGAAAATAAAACCTTGATTAATAAACATGAGTACAAAAAAAGTAAACAGCAGACAGCACCTTAATGAGTTGCCTTGACACTGAAGACAGGTTTGTGGTACCAATTGCATGAAAGACAGAGAATTCCTGGTGCCTAGTAGTTGATTAAACACTAATTCATGTAATATTTTATTTTTCTACAGATGATGATGGTCAGCAAGTCCAGTGCAGTTGTCAGAGTTTCACCTGTAGGTGGTGCTCAGAGGCAGCAGAGGTGGCAGCAGCTCAGAGGCAACAGCAACGACAGGGAAATCAGATGTAAAGCATTTCTGCAAAAAATCTCACTAAAATTAAGCAAAATTAGTTGTCTCTCCAGGCTTTCACAAAAAAAGTTGCATCACCATGGAAACCTTTGACCTCACAACTCGCCAAATGAGAGGAGCTGATTGATGAAGTCTGACATTAACTACTGTGTGTATAATGTTTGTTTATGTGCCCACTGCCGTCTCTCAGATATAGTGTCATACTATCTTTTACATTTAACACGTTACTATTATTCAATGGTGAGCTTGTTTAAGAGCTATTTGTTGTAATCCTCTTCAACCAGATGAATGCCTGCTCAAAAACCTTTAGGCCCCGACTTTTAAGTTTTCTCCAATTTTGTCTTAAAATTGATCAAATATTTAAATTTTTCAATGCTTTTCAATGGACTTGCTTTCAATGCGTGAATTGTTTTTCTTTTTTCTCTTTTTGATGCAAAAGTAGCTAAATTAGACAAATGCATATTGTTGAATGATTATTGTGACCCTTGTCAGGATAAACACCAAAATACCAACCTCATACTAATATCTGTAAATCTTAGTTCTTCACGCTCCATAATATATGGGTATTTGTAGGGGAACAATATTAACAGTAAATCCCCAATATGTAGACTAATGTACCTTGTGCATTAAATGTTTTATTTGTGCATTTTGTTGGCTCAGTCCAATTTTATACAATTACTCCATCTAGTGGTCATAGTGAAGCAGTACCACTTTTTCAACCCCAAACAAGTGGAGGATTGAAAAGTAAATGGCGCCATCATTTTTGTCCATGTATTTATTGAAAGCAGTCAGATGAAGCCCCCTTTGAAACCCCTGTAGTAACAACAACAGTGTTTTGAAGTCTTCATTTGGAGCTGGTGTACTTGGTGACGGCTTTCGTGCCCTCAGACACGGCGTGTTTGGCCAGCTCCCCGGGCAGAAGCAGCCTCACTGCGGTTTGCACCTCTCTGCTGGTTATGGTGGAGCGTTTATTATACTGGGCCAGTCGGGACGCTTCCGTGGCAATCCTCTCAAACAGGTCGTTCACGAAGGAAATCATGATACTCATGGCTCTGCTCGAAATCCCTGTGTCCGGATGTACCTGTGAAGGAAGACACGAGGAAATGTTTGTTAGTTGGCCTTTTTCACAGACGTATTTTTAAGTCCCGCTTCTTTAACTCACCTGTTTCAACACTTTATAGATGTACATGGCGTAAGTTTCTTTTCTTTTGGTTTTTCTTTTGGCCTTTTTCTCACTTGAACTCTTCCCTTTTCGCTTTGAGATATCATTACTCATTTTTGTGTGACTTTTCACAGTTTTAAGTAACTTTAAACGCTTTATCTTGTTTTTTAGGAACAGATATCCTAGCTAGCTCGCTCGCGCACAGCTGTTTATGTAGCTCGTGTTAATTACCGGCTAATTTAACTCACCTGTACCAACTTTACAGCCACAGCAAATAAGAAAAACAACAAAAAAGTTGAACAGATAAAGGACTAAAAATTAGTTTTAGATGTCCCCTGCAGTTATTTCCTTTCACCAGACAGGTAATAATGATAATTCAATGTATTTTTACACTAACTAGCTTCAATGTGTAGGCTAATGTTGAGTAAATTTCAACAGCAAACCACTTCATAATGTTGTCCACTTGGTGGCACACTTAGTATACCAATTTCTACACAGCAGAAAATCACACACTCGTTACAGTCCTGGAGGAGAGTCCACTTAAATCCATCGTAATCCTCTGTATAGCTCGTAAGTTTGATAAATATTTTAGACCTAGAGCTATATTTAGAAACCATATCTACAGGAAAGCGCTTTCATTGTCACATTTAATGTTTCTGTAAGCCAGCTGTAGCTGTTATCAGATAGATGAATGCACACCGAGGCTATGGTTATTAAAAATGTATAGTATGAGCAATACTGGATTAAAGAAGCTCATAGAACCCCAGCCTCAAAAGCCCCAGTGTCATTTTGTCTAATTTAGTATGTAGCAGTCAGACAAAACGCAGACATGATCTTTTCACTATTGATAGTCTTGGAGCATTTCTTATACACTGGAGCTCTGTGTTTAATCTCAACTGTTTTATTTCATGCTGAATGCACTTATAGCAAAATGTATTTGTCTTAACAATCTCCTAATTAGCATTAAATACAGAATCCCGGCAGTATTGAAATGATTGAGTTGACTTTTTCCCCCCTGTAAATCCTAAATATGGCATGTTTTAAACAAATCCCCTCATAAAGTTTAGGAAAGATAAAAGTTTAAACACTTTATGAAATTTTCTGCTACTTTACCCACATAAATGTCTGTATTTCAGATTTGATATATGGGTCTGTGGTTGCCGATTCTTGTGGTGGTGTTATTACGTTCTAAAGTTTGTTTCTTTTTTGCTGTTTTTGTGTGTTTTAGGTGGTGAGAGCTCGCAAGACTGCTCACTGATTCAAGTAGTGACAACATGCAGGAAAGACCTGAGTGTTGGATCAGGACCTGGGTGCTGCAGCCATGTCTCAGCCAGTGTCGACTGTGGGTGCACGCTGAACCAGGTGACCAGTAAGGGTACCCCTGTTTTATATTTCTTAACAGACTCTTTTGGTTGTTGAACAATATGACAAAGTGCTGATATCTGGTGTAAAATATTTATGCTTCAGGTCTGTGAGATGACGAATATTGTGGTGTTTTATTTAGGATTTAAGACTAAACATCTAAATTGGCTCAAATTAACAAATGATTTATTTCAGTCAGTATAACATCATATGCATCAAGGTTTGATTATGAAAATGTTTGCATCCACCAACTTTGACCAAACTTACATTTTTTAATCATGGGCTTTTACCTTTAATTCTCCAATAGTTTTCTGATTTTGTTTGGATAATCATAAACAAACCACTCTAGGATTTTTACTAGGACTGATTTGCCAGTTATGCTTTCGGCTCATGAACAATTCAAACATGTTTCTACTGTTTCTGACATGCTACCACTTAGTATATGATTTCACTTGTAACCTTGACATTTTAACCAGTTTGAGTGACAATATCCGATGTACTTAAAACACACACTCACACCCACCTCTATATAGTAAGGCACTTTGTCATACTTGCTCAGTGCTCATTACTATCAAAGCAAAGCTTGGCACAGTTGTGTTGGCTTAAGTCATGCTGCTCAGGTTCTGCACAATTTTGAGATGTATCCCTGCCGTAAATAATCCTTTTGGTGAGCAGTGAACATGAGATATTTACTGCAGCATCATTCACTGGGTGTTTACATTGTGGCGTGTGATATAAATTGACAGTAACTTTAAGACAACAGCTCTTAGTGCTGTCGATGTTTGGCAATAACATATTCATAGAAGCTTTTTTAATTATTCTAGATTTATTACTGAAAACTTAAAGCACTTTAGGCATTTAAGTTTTCGCCCAACAAGATGTGAGGAAACACAAAATACAAACATATGGTGAGTGAGTTAAAGAATTAACATATTTAGACAACCAAACACACTTCAGAAAGCAGCACATTAGTAAAAAATACAAATAATTCCTCTTTAGGGTTTCATGAAAAACTTCTGCTTCTCTGACCATGTGGTATTCTCTTTGATTTACTTAAATGCTGCCTTCAGTTCTTTCTCTCTATCTCTCTCTTTTTCTCAAGTAAAGGCCACATAGTTTGATGAATGGCACACAGGTATCCTAACTTGAATATGCAATTAGTGCCAAATCTCTTCATTGTGCATTGCCACTCCTGTGTCCAGGGTCTTGGACTCTTTTCTGTGCCTTTTTATTTATGTTCTCCAGCAGTGCCCAACAGATAGTGAGCAGCAGATTCCATATGAATAGGCTCTTATCTGAGGCAGCATTTATGCAAGGTCGTTTGCAGCAATTGCATGGCAGCTATTGGTTGAGTGCATTGTGAAGGCCATCTTTTTCTCTGTTGTCTGGCAGATTTCTGCAGCTTGCTTGTTTCATCTGTGATGAGAAGATGGGAAAGAGGTGAGTGTTAGCACACATCTGCTGCCTCGCTCTGCCCGTCTGACAGTCACAGAAAGAGAAAATAGTTGGGTGTTATGTTCATAACATCCTGTCATATCGACACATTGCTGAAGGCTATGTGAAGTATTATTTTTCTGCAGCATTTGTAGTTCAATACAACAAAGCGCACTTTGATACCCGCGCTGAATAGTGATTACTCTGATGTTATTTCACAGTTTTGTGTTCAAATAAATCAGTTTGGGGTCTCTGATTTTGCCCCTTTGCTGAATGACAAATCAGTCATTCACAGTCATGACATTAAGGCTGAAAGAAAATATTGATATTCTTTGAAACAGCAGAATTACATCTTTTTGCTCAGTTTCAATGCATTAAAACACTGAAGTGATTTAAGATAGTTATATACTGTATGTGCTAGGATGAATGTAAAGATAATATACACTTTAATGGCCCAGTGATAATTTCTTCACACCCACACTCAAAGTGTTACTGGCAGCTTAAGGAGCAATAATATTTACTAATGCTGCTGTTCTGTTTGAATACATAAGTAACCTTTTGTCACTTAATACATTGTGCATAAATTAAAGTGTTATTTGCAATCTGATAGTATCTGAAATAAGTAAAAATTAGATTAGAGATATCTTTATGTATCTGAGTCACAGCAGCTCTCCAGTTTCCATTTTGAATATTGCCACAAGGATGTTTTGGGCATATCAGTGTTCTTCACTGTAAAGTCGGGTTAAATTCCATCAGTATAATCAGAGGGGGTCAATTATAGTTGACTGAAATCAGAGACACAGGAATGACAACTTAAAGTGGCTGTGATCACCCCGAGTTGACTCTGTTTATAATGATTTTCAATCTTTAAAAAGATATGTGCTCCAGAAGGAGGTTTGCTCCAAACGTCTTTGTATCGATGTTCAAAAGGGGAATTACAGAGCTGGCCACATCTTTCTTCTTGGTCATGATGATTTCTCTTCTTTGAATGAGTAAGAAAAGAGCAGCAATTTGTGTAACTTAACAACCAATGAGCTATGATACAAAAACAAGGGTCAGTAAGAAGACCTGTTGACTGAACTACCTCACTAGACAAAATTGCTGCTTTTTATCTTTCTGCTTGGAGTTTCCATTTTGGTGTTGCTCTTCAGTGAGCTGCTGGTTGGTGAATAGTTATTGCAGTAAAACACTGTCTGTGAGAATTGTGAAGAATCAGACTAAGTTTAATCTCTGTTTCAGTTTGGGTTTTTTCTCTCTCATTCTGGCATTGCTCGGTTCATGCATCTCTGCTGCTGCTGCTGCTGCCTCAGCTTGATAATGTATGTGCCCCCGAATGTTGACTGCTTTACTGCAGGGTGCACTTTTTAACAGCTGAGGAATTTGCCAAATCTGCATAATTCAGGCATCACAAAGAGTGACTTACGGTAATTGCTCCTTTTGGCTCTACATCATATCAGGGCGGTTTGCTTGTCATAAGATTTTCTGCTGAAATGTAGTAATTACACCACATTAGTTAATATCCAACATCTCTTGGCCCTAAATTGTGAGAGTGGCGACTGTGCCGTTGTACTAGATCCACACTATTAAGATGATTACTTGTCAGATCAGTTAAAAGTTTAGCTCAGGCTGTTCGAAACACAGAGCAATCCAGCAGTACTGTGACTTTGTGACTTTACATCATGAAAATCAATGTAAATGTAAATCGAGGGAAGATAAAGATTGACCTAAAATAAAAATTTATCATTTTTAAAAACATGTTGATATTCATACCCCAAGTGACATTTTTGTGGGATAATAGACACACAACATACCTAATGTGAGCAAAGTCTTAGCTATCACAAAGAGGGTCCTAGTATCGCCGAGAGAAAGGGTTAAGAGCTATTTCACAGTATGTTAAGTTTTTCATTAGAGAGACAGTATGCGTGCACTCTAGACACAGACGTGAATCGTCTATGTCCTCGCTCTAATGTAGGTCAGACCAGGGTGAAGAAGCATCAATATTTTGCATCTTTACAATGTTAGGTTGTTTTTAAGAATGATACTTGACTCGCTGACAAATCACACATGTTCGTGTAAGTGAAAACAGAAAAGAAATCCTTTTCTTTCGTGCATGAGTAGAGGATGTAAGCCTGTAATTTTTCAAAACATTATTTGATGGTTAAGTCTGATTCAGAGCCTGCATCCACAAAAACAGAGTGCAGTGCTTTGAGGCACCTCAATATTGGCCCTGCTTATTAATATTCACTGCATAATGCTGTGCATTCTACCATCCACTTGAAAGCCAATTACTGTAGAAAAGTCCAACACTTTCATCCTACAATCTGCAACAACAGGCATGCCTGTCAGTATGAATTAAGAGTTAAAGCACGCTAATCTCTACACAAAACAACATTACCCAAATTTAAAGAGTATACTCATAAACACAGCCCGAAGAGTATTTGAATTATTTCACTGAAATAGTCAAATGCATATTAATGCTACAATAGAGACTAAAATCCCCAAAGGTACTTTAATAATGAGTATTTGTTAAGATCTGAATTGATTACATTCAGAAGTTTATTACAATAAACCTTGAGGTTTCATTTTGTTCATTTGTTTGAAACTTTTACTTTCATCACTGCGGTCCCAGAGTTTCATTTTCATGGTTCCAGTTTGCCTACCCAAGGGTAAGGTTAGTTTTGACGGGACTATTTGTATCATTGACTCATCAGTTATAGTCTGCACATCTTCCACAAACTAGTACAAAACTTAGACAATCAGTCAGACACAGCTGCTGCTGTCTGCTGGTAAACTGTGCGTATTCTAACAAATGTCTTTTCATCCAAAAACTCTTCAGTTTATATTTATTGTTCATTTATTTGTTTGTTACACTTATTGTAGATGAGTATTAATATAGTGCTATAAGCAGCCAGTCTGTCTCTTCCAGTGCCTCAAAGGTGACTCCTCAGGATTTGTAGGTTGTCAGCAGCATTGACTCACTTGGCCCTTCTAGTAAATGAAAACATATTAAAACTCAGTGAAGGTCTTGTATGTAAAGTAGACACAGCATCATCCATCAGTCTTAAGTGCTTTTTGGCACATGAATCATTATCAGTCTTGACTGAGAATACAAAAGACACCAGCTGAATTTGATGGATTTTCAAGCATGGGAGTGGATTTACTAGACTTAAGTCCAATGTCTCAATCAAATCAGTGGCATCACAAGGAAAACCGCAGGATATCTTTAAGGCACCAGGATGAACAAGCTATTAAACATTGCTCTCTGCTATGGTGATTTAAGCTTGTATTCATCTCTGGAGTTGAAGTTTTGAAGCAGCAGAACCTCCATGCTGTTGTGAAGACCTGCGCTCTGTCTCGGTATTCCCTGTTGGGTAGGAAAATTGCACTAGGTGGATTCAAAACCACAGTAGTCTGTCACTTCAGGCGTCATGTTGCATTCTGCTCAGGGAGTGTTCTCTAAATTGCGTCTCGACTGTGACAATGTAAGGTTGACATTGCATTCCTCAGGAGTTTACAAACGGTTTATGTGGTTTTATCTGGATTGCATACCTCCATAGCTTTGTGTCAAACGGTTGCTATGGTCTCTGTGCTTGGTTACTAGGGTAGAATATTGATTTATCCCTCAAGGGCTTCGGCCATATCCTTGGCAGTTCATCTATTGTTATGATAATTAGGCATCCTCGGATGGCCAATGAGTGATAATCTTGTTTGGTCTAAGGGGAAATGAAAAGGTCGTCAGATATGGTGTGGTTAAATTTTAACCCGAGTGAAATCCCACACACCATTACCGGTCAAGCCTGAATTTCTTGGCGTGTAGACAATAGCCTAGGATTTTAAAATGTATTTCTGATTAACTTCATGAAAAAATATTGTCATGGATAAACAATGTTTTTATCAGAGAGTGAATAAAGACTTCAATCATGATTTATTTATATGGATTAAAAAATTTAAATCGAGAAAAAACCTTCTACCAGGTGGTCTCAGCTCATGCATTTGCTTCTATATGTTTGTAATGTTCTGAAATATAATGTGGACGTTGCTAGAAAGTCTTTTTCATTCATGAATGCAATACATATGCAACCTGTGGAATTCCTGTATGAAATCCAACATATTTGTGGCAGAAGCTGTTGTAGCAGATAAGAGAATAATAACACACTGAAGGTGGTGTCCAGATTGGGAGACTTCCCCTGTGAGCACAGACACGCAGGCAAAGCAGCCATTCAGCAGTGGGATGGATCCTGACTACTAAAGAGGGTGAGAGAGAGGGAGAGAGAGAGAGAGAGAGAGAGAGAGTGAGAGTGAGAGAGAGAGAGAGAGAGAGAGCTAGAAATGGGGGAGTGGTGGGAGAGAGAGGAAGAGAGGACACGAAAAAAGAGAGTGAAAGGCTCCACACGGCAGAATATAAATCTGTATGTTAACCGGACTTAAAGCTGGAGATCTCCAAGCTGCTTTACTGGTTGTGCTGGTGGGGGGTGACCACAAAGCATCAAGAGGTGGTCTTCCCTATTAACTGAGGATCTGTGCACGGAAGGAAGTGGGACCCGTGGAAGCTGTGAACGCCGGTTGTCAAGCACACTGGTGGGCTAGTCGGAGGTCCCTGACCCCCCTTCTCTCATTTTCCTTTCTGGACAAAAAAAAAAAAGAAGCGCCAAAGAGACACGAGAGAAAAACGAAGGTGGCAGCGAGGGACCAGTGAGCCGTTTCTGTCTTTATTACCTCCATTCACAAAACCATTGCATCCCATTATCACAGCGATGTAGAGGCATTCTCTCCATTTAGAGGAGGAAGGGTCCCATTGACTGCTGAGGCTTAGCACCTCTCCAAAACGCTAGCCCTTTTCATTGCAGCCCCCCCTCCTCCTCCTCTTGCCTCTCATTTCTCGCCTCTATCCTTACGTCCGCTATTTTCTCTGTTCTTCTCTCTTTTCTCGACCCTTGTATTCTTGTCCCTTTTCACTCAGGAATCTGGAGGCATTGCGTTGTGGTAGAAGTGGGTGTTTCTGGAGCTGTCATTGTGTTCGGTGCCGCTACAAAGGACAGCTGAGCAGGGGAGTGAGAGAGACAGCTTTTGGAGATAATAAAAGAACAGTGTGAGAGGAAAGGTGGAGACCCGGGACCAAAGGAACAGCTGACAACCACGGGAAGGTGAATTGTAATGAAAAGAAAACTGTTACAGAGGCTGACAAGCATTTTGAGGTAGCTTTTCATTAAGAGCATTACCACTTCGGGGGGGGAAATAAAGGAGCAGTGTGACAAACCAACACTG